ATATAATTTGTCTCCTATTTCAAAATAAAAATAATACTGATTGATTTTCAATTTATTAAACCTGATCCTTGCGGAGTTTGAAAACCAAACACTGTGGCAAGAGGAATCTAAAAGTAAAACCAGGTTTCATTGTCTACCCTGTAAGGAACTGGAGATGAAAATAAATGCAGAGGCAAACAAGGAAACAACTTGTGACAATAGCCATGGAAATCTAATACCTGGCTGTGAATAACCAAGTCTGACGTTGATGTACAGAACCAAGGAAGGTATAAACCCTCAAAAGGTGGCAATAATAATAAATATCTAGAGTAATTTTGATCTCCTATGGCAATGAGAGTGGACAACTTTTAGACATCAGACTGGATTTATGAAGCTTTGCATCAGTATGAGTGACATTTTGCAGTTCTGTTGTCTTCCCCTCAGATTTCTGTCTCTCTTTATATCCATCCCACTCTTGGGTGGCATTTTATTCATCTCTTTAGGATAACTATTCTATAGTGGAATTATAATAATCTTTTAAGTGTCTGACTTGTACATGAGTGGTGTGGCGGTTTCTTTTTCTTTTGGCATTCTGACAAAATGATGCAACACCTTACCCATCAGAGAGAAGGGATGGGCATTTGTGTGGCAAATATGACCAATCTGTGGTACATTGGGAAAAATTGTACTTCTAGAGATGCTGGGACTAGTCTTGCATTGTGTATCTGGTGAAATGAGCATTTTTGTTAGCCAAAGAATTTCCACCAATGTACATGTAAGCAGACCTGCTGCAGGGTTAGACATTGAGATGGTTTTTTTTGGGGTCTCAGTATTTCCCCATAGGGTAAGAGGATGTGTTATATATTTTAATTTTAAATTCATTAGTACTTCTAAAACAGGGATTCCAGATGCATCACACTAAAGGATATGTTATCTCCTTTGACCTTACCAGTAATGCTTTTACCTTTGCCTTGCAAAGAGGCTTTTCCTGTGCACTTACCCATCAGCTCCTGAAAGGCCAAAAGAGGTAAAACCTGAGCTTGGAGGAGGTTTTTTGTTGGTTTTGGATTTGTTGTTGTAGGTTTTAGTGGGTTTTTTTGGTTTGGTGGGTTTTTTTTTTTTTTTGTTTTGGGGTTTTTTTTTTTTTTTGTTTTGGGGTTTTTTTTTTTTTTTGTTTTGGGGTTTTTTTTTTTTTTTGTTTTGGGGTTTTTTTTTTTTTTTTTTTTTTTAGTTGTTTTTGGGGTTTTTTTCCTAGATTACATAAATGGCTGATTTGGGAACAAAGTATTATGTTCAATAAACGGGCGTGTGATGATTTCAAGTTCTTTTTCCTGTGTGCTTGTATCTCCACACACTGCTTCTCTCTTTGCCACATCCTCAAACCCTGCTGGTGTGCATCAAGAGACGCGCATTAAAAACAGGAAAAAAAAATCAAAAAGGGAGAGAATTAATTACAGCTGCTTATAATGCTGTGGAAGAAATGATTTAAAACAGTCAAAAAGGTCCCTTCCCTACTGTTATTACCAATTTCCCAGAGAAGCAGTGGTTCCAGATCTGTTCAGGTGACACTTCCCCTCCCTTTGAAGCGTGTGACTGTACTTTTTCAAGACAAAGTCATGCCAAACTAATTGATTCTTTTTTCCCCCCCTTCTTATTAAATAAGTTTTGCTGAGCCACATTTACTTGGATTAAATACAGGCAAAAAGAAAACTCCCATTGGTTCAGGAAGTTTGTTTTGTGGTTCTTTGGAAAAGAACATTCTGTCCACTCTTTGTAAAACCAATACAAACAGCCTTTTGGCACACACACCATTCTTTGTAGATACCTTACTTTAAATTATCTCTCTGTTATTTTTTAAGATTAAGTATCACAGTCCATATTTCCTGGATAAACCCTGCCTTGTGTAATTGTGCTTTCTCTTTGGAAGTCACACCTGCAGTGGTAGCTGGTAGTTTAACACAATTAATTATTCTAAACACTATTTGAGATCTGCTGATGGAAGATGCCGAATAATGGAATGGTGATTATAAATTTTAGGACAGTAAATGTGGTTTATGTAATAGCACTTATTTAGATGTGGTTATATCTCATCATAGAAATGATCATGTAAATACGATGTTAAGGAAAAAGAGCTGTAGAGGCACAGAGTAAAATTGCAAGATGTTTTTATTTATTTTGTAATTGAGGAATTGTGTGAGTTTGGTGCAGAAATGTCCTTTTTTCCTTTTAACTTTTTAAAGGATATCATTAAGGTGCTCTGTGCTACTAAAGGAGTACTTTTCTCACGCATGAGAATCTGGAAGGGGCTGCCAGGATTGGGAGGAACAGCAGAGAAGGAAATGTGCAACCTTAGTCAAACAGGGAGCAATCTCTGGTGCCCTCTTTTGATAATATATTTGGTGGAACCACTTAGGGGAGGACTTTAAGCAATAAATTATTGGACTGATTAATAAATTATTGGACTGATTCTTCAAGTGTTGGTAACTTCTACTGGCTTGGGCCCTTACTGGAAGGGAAAACAAAGATGTCCTGTACCTTGTAGGAGGCAGTCCTACATGTAGTAAATAATATTTCTAGAGTGTGATAAAAGCAAATCAAACCTGTCCTGTAACAGCTTGGAATTGAGCTGAAGGTTCACACACACATTTGGATATAAGTTTTGAGATCTATGTTTTTTATCATCAAAGGAAACCACAATGAAGAAACCCAACCTTTTGAACTTTCTATTTCCATACGTTTAAATCCAAAGACTAAAGTATTTTGAATGTCATGTCTGTCTTATCTTTCCAGCAAAGCCTTTTCCTATAATTAAAAAGGCATCAATTTTTCTAATTGTTGCCAAATCCAATCTGAGCCTCCCACACAATCATTTCAGCCTTCCCTCCCCCTCCCATCATTGTCTGATATTTTGTTTGCACAGTCATTATTCATTAACTGTGTTCATGTCCAGGGCAGCAAACAGAGGAATCACATCAGCAAGAAGGAGCTCAGAAACTCACCAGTGAAATCTTTTTTTTTGCTTTTCTGTTTTACATTGCCTCTCAGATGAGAATCCCGAAACCTGTAACAAATTTCAGAGATAAGGAGTGTGGAAACAATGAGTGTGCTACTGTTTGCTACTTCCTTTTCTTAGCAGAATTCTTTAGTGTTCCTTTCAACTGAGAAGAATTCATTTGGAAGAAGCTAGTGAGATTATAAGTCACTATTGCAAATGAAAGAGGTGTAGTCTGTCCATTTTTAAAAAAATTCTTTCAGAATCACACATAATCATTAGTCAGAGTTGGGAGGGACCTCTGGAGATCATCTCATCCAACCCCTTGCCAAGGAGGGGTCACCTGGAGCAGGTCACACAAGAACAGGTGGGTTGTAGAATCTCCAGGAAAGGGAGATTCCACAGCCTCCCTGGGCAGCTGTTCCAGTGTAAGGTTCTTCCTTGTGTTAACTTCTTCCTTATGTTAAAGCTCTTCCTTATGTTAAGGTAGAACTTACTGAGGTTTAGTTTATGGCCACTGCTCCCTGTCCTGTCACTGGGCACCACAGAAAAGAGCCTGGCACCATCCTCTTGGCACCCCTTTGAGGTATTTATATGTATTGATGAGATCCCCTCTCAGTCTTCTCTTCCCTGGACTAACCAAGCCCAGCTCCCGCAGTCTCCTCTTGAGAGAGGCACTCCAGAACCCTCATCATCATTATGTCCCTCTGCTGCTCCAGTAGCTCTCTTTCTCTCTCTCTCTTTCTCTCTTTCTCTCTCAACTTCATCCATATTTTGAAGGGAATAAAATGGGCATGGAAGGCTGGAGAGTCCTGCCTGAGGTCACTGAGCTGAGTTCAGTGCTTCTCTTCCCTGGACTAACCAAGCCCAGCTCCCGCAGTCTCCTCTTGAGAGAGGCACTCCAGAACCCTCATCATCATTATGTCCCTCTGCTGCTCCAGTAGCTCTCTTTCTCTCTCTCTCTTTCTCTCTTTCTCTCTCAACTTCATCCATATTTTGAAGGGAATAAAATGGGCATGGAAGGCTGGAGAGTCCTGCCTGAGGTCACTGAGCTGGGCATAGCTGAGGCTCACGAATGGAAAATAACCTGTGCTGCCTTAAGGTGTTGTGCCCATGTGTTGTCCTTTCCTCTGTAAGGGTTTCCTGGTCAAAGAAAAACCCCATTATTTGTTAATCTCCCCTTCAAATATTAAAATGTTACGTTTTCAACATAATAGGTGATTAACAGATAAACCACCAGTAGAATCTGATCATATTAGTAAGAAGATTGATAAGGTTTAGTGCAAAAACTAGCACAATAGTACTACTTCCTTTTTACATTAATGTGCAACCACTGAATCGATTCAGATTGACTGAATTGACCTATTGTCACTTGTCCTATCAATGAGTTGACTTGGTACTGCTTCTGCCTAGTTCTGCTGCTATATCAAATTGATCTGTATGTTTCAATTAATTTTAATTGGATTTATTTTGAATGGCCTTGTAAGGGAAAGGAAATGGAACCTCTCATAGAAGTCACAGGATTGGGATAATGCCAAAATGAAGGTCTAAAGAGAGTAATTCATAAGAAAATTCTGCTGTAATTTGGTCAGATTTACTAAAATTTGAAGAACTGTGCCAGGTCAGTGCCTGGAATAGTGCAGTTATAAAGATGGAAGTGACTCCTGTTACAACTAAGTTAGAATGAAGTGTTGGTTATGAATAAAGACATGAATAGAAAAGGACTAACTCTTGAATGTCAGATTCAAAACTGAGGGGTAACAAAATTTGAAGGATTTATGGTGGAGGCTGTTCCATTACCCTGACCATGAGGTTCCTGTTAGCTGTACAGAGGAGTTCTTTTTGGTACTCCTGGTATTTAGGAAACTCACACTGACAGAAGTGGATGAACTCTAACCAGAGCTGTATTTGTCTCTGTCATGCACTGAGGGAAATCACATTTTAAGAAGTCAGGGATTAGCAAACTGAACTCATTGTGTAATGTGCAGTGGAATTGCAAAGCTGAACCTGTTTCTTTTCTGGTTTTCAGTGATTTGTCCTGTTGGGAAGCTGCCTTCTGAGTGTCTCTGGAGAGATGCCAGCCAGCTGAATTAAGCACTGGCAGGGACAGCATCTCCCAGGCTGAAGTTCTAAGCCCAGGCACGTGGCATTTGCACAAGTGATCACTGGTGAGTTGTACACGAGCACAGCTTCTCTCTTTCCTCTCTGTCTCTTCAGCCACTGGCATCTGTTGCAAACTCCAAGGTCTGATGCACAGACTGGCCTGCCTCGCTTGTTTTTCCCAGATTGTGACTGATGGGCTTAGAGAATATGAGAATGGTCCAGGTTGCCAGCTAATCTTAGGAAATCCTTACTATTTGTTTGTATTTTTAAGGATTATTTTCCCCTCTCCCTCCACTGAATGATGTCCTGGTGAGGCCAAACTTCAATTCTATAGCATTTGTGTATTATACTAGATGATATCACTGTGCTTTTTTTAACCAGAGGAGATTTTATACCCTCTTCCTTAGTGCTTCATAGCCTGGAAATCCAAGCTGTGGGGTTCTGATAACAGAAGTAGTGACTGGCTGCTGTCAGCACGAGGGTGATTAAAAATGTGTGTGTGAGTGCTGGTTCACTCCCTTTCCAGCTGAATAGAAAATGAAACTGCCCAAAGCCTTTTATGTAAGTGCATGGATTTGGAGGTTTTTTTCCTGTTTAAATCTCTGTGTGGCTGTCTGCAGACAAACTTCATCCCCAGCTTCCTTTTGAAGATGCTGTGTAAAGAAAAGAGTGAGCTTGTTCTGACCTCTGGGGCGTGATCCTGTTTCCAGCTCAATACCAGCCATAACCTCTCTACAAAAGGCAATAGCTAAACATTAATTTTTTTTTAGGGGAAGGTGGTTTCTAGTCAGTTTTTCCAATCTGCGATTTTCCTCGATAAAACAATGGCAATCTGCTTCTTCCAGCAGCTGAAAGGTTGTGATTCTTTGACAAAAAATGTGTGGAGAGCTGCCTTACACCTTGTAACCCCCTGCTTTATTTAAGACTGCCATGCTGGGCTGACTGTTGTTTTCCTGGGAGTGTGGCACCAGGGAATCATCATGAGATGCAGCCTGGTCTGTAAAACACACGTTTGCTATTACAAACAACATATGTGCCCTTAGCTATAGCTAATCATTTAAAAATCTCTGTGGAATTTGGGGGGATAGCTCCTCTAGACATGGAAAAAATCCCATTAAAGCATCAGCATGACACAGCTCAGCATCAGGTGCTGAATTATGCTATGAAAATCACAGTAGGGGCTTCGTGCTTTAGGCAGAGCTACCTGAAGCTCTCTTCTGGAGGAGCCCCCTGTAAGGATGGGTGCAGGAAGGGTAAAATGCATCCAGGGCACTTGTCTCTGGCTCTTTCTGGTCCTTGCCATGTTGTTAAAAAGGCTGGTTGGAATATTTGGACAAAGACCTGAAGGTCAGTGCTGTCCTGAGCTGTACATGCTTGATTAGCAACAGAGTTGGAAAATCACCCTGGCCTGAAAAAATATGAGGGTAATTCTGCTTTATGCTGGAGGGGGCAAAGGCAGAGCAAGGAATACAGGCACGTTATTTCAAGGTCCAATAGCCTGTTAAGCCAGACTAAAATAAGGCTTTAATTAGTGGAAAGTTTAGGAAAACAAATTTGGTGCTATTGTCACATAACAAGTTGGAACATACCTGTCCTGAAGTTCCTTTCCTTTTTATTGCTGCTGCTCTTCCTGCTTCAGCTCAAGCATAGCAGCTGCTGTCTTGGGAACCACTGAAGGTAGATGCAGTTCCTTTCTGCTGCTGGAGAACTCTGAACCCCAGCTGGAGAACTCTGAACCCCAGCACTTAAATAATACAGCAACTTCAGTGCTAACAGCAGCAGCTTTGGAGGAGAGAGGTTTTCAAATTGTTTCAGTTGATTTTCAGGGCGTGTAGAAATAGAGAAAGCAAGGTAGATATTGAAGCAGTGTTTTTTCACTTAAAATCATTGTCACCTGGGTAGGTGCCCTTCATTTTTGCTTGTAAGTATTTTCAGTTATTAAAATTTAGAGCCCACAGATTTTTCTAGAAGCCAGAGAATTCCAGTAGAAGCACATCTGTGTCTTGGTCAGGGGGACAGCAGTTTAGGACAAATGTCTGTGTGCTGTGTCTGAGGTGCCAGTCTGACTCACAGGATGGAATGCCTGCGTGGGGGAGAAGGCAAAAACCTTTGCTCCCTGGTGACAGGGGTGGGAAACCATCTCCATGTGGAGAGGTTCCTTTTGAAGCTGCACATCATCATCAAGGTGTGTTGGAAATTCACTTTATTCACAAATAAAGACTGAGTCAAGCCGGTGCCTGCTTATCAGGTCAGGTGGTGATTGTGCTGTGCCATAAATCACAGTGCTCTGAGCACATCCAGTTCCATGGGTTTGCCTGTGGCTGCACTTAAGAAATGCGTGTGAACTCCAATGCAGACTTTTAGTTTGTTGTTTCAGTTGTTTTTTGGGTTTTTTTCCTATTTCTGAGAGCACTATAGAGCACAGAACTTGAAGTGCAGGGTGTCTGGGGAGCATCCTGCCCTTGGGGTTGAGTGGTGGTTTGCACTTTGCTTGCAATTCTGCTCCTTTACTGTTTGCTACCTGCAACTGCAGTGCAGACTTTTGAAACTGCAGCTTGAACTTTCATCTGAATTTTCTTATACTTTTTCCTTATTTTTTTTAAATTAATTTCTAGTTCTTCTTAATTATAGTGTCAGAACAGCATTATCATAGAATCATAAAATATTTTACATTGGGGGGATTTTTAAACACCATCTAGTACAGCCCCCCTGCAATGGGAAAGGACTTGTTCAAGTAGAGCAGGTTTCTCTCCTGGAGAGGTTGGATGGGGTTGGATGGACCCCCATCCAACCTGGCCATTAATATTTTCAGGGATGGAACATCCACCACCCCTCTGGATAACCTCTTTTACCACCTTCATTGTAAAAAAACTTCCTTACATCCATCCTAATTCAACCTTCTTTTACTTTAAAACCATTTTCTCTTCTTGTCCTGTTGCAGTGGGCCCTGATAAAAGCCTGTCCTCATCTTTCCTGTAGGCTCTCTTGAGGTGCCAAATCACTGAAGTGATTGGCTATTAGAAATATTGCAGAATCAGGAAAATTAACCTCTTGCCTCAGGTGGTTGGATGCTGAAACACACTGACAGAAACTGTAAACCATCATAAGCCTGCAAAAGATTAATGGTTAGTTACCAATAACTGTTTTGAACCTCAAGAAAAATGATAGCTTAAGCCATTGGTGTAAATCAATCACCCTTTTGTTAGCATAAATTTTGCTTAGATCCAAAACCACTGAAGCTGGGTGGATATTTCTGATGATTTTACCGCAGCAAAAATTAACCTCTATTTCTTGACAGGAGTAAATGAGAGATAATAACATTTTATTATCTGCTCTAATCACCTGTGACTTTAATTTAAAAACCAAAAATTCCTCTGAACCACTGGATTTTTTTTTTTTTTAAATCCCGCAAATGAAAACAAATGGTTACCCTGTCTTCTAAATCCTGACACCTGGCTGCTCAGGTGGGGGATGTTCTTTAGGACTGGTAGAGAAGTCTGGGCATTTTCAGGGCTGTCATTGCATGTGGTGAGGGCTGCTGGTGCCACGAGCCTGGCTCTGCAGGAGAAAGCTCCATGTCACAAACCAGAGCCACGCTGCTTGCCCAGTGTCAACAGCTTGTCATTACAGACTCTGCTTTTTCCTCCTGGCTGGTAGCTGGAAAGGTTTAGAAATGATCATTATTTCTTTCCTCCAGTGACTGGAGAAGTATCAGGGTTTGTTCTTTCCAGATTTAAGGGTAAAAAACCCCCACTCTGCTTTTTGTTTGTGCCGAGTTTGCAATTATTTTATTGCCCCGGTTGGATTTTTGCAGCATATCCAAAATCGTTAATCTCCCGTGGAGCGAGAGAGGATGTGAAGAAAAGAAGCGGAGAAGGGAGAGGAAGGACAGAATGCTAGCCAAACACACTGGGGTTTTCCTGGCTTTTTTGTTTTACAGCAGCTATTCCTGGTACCCGGGGGAGCACGAGGAGAGCGTGGGGTGACAGTGGTGTGTCTTGGAACGTGGCATTGCCACTGTGATCTTCTCTCTCCTTTTATCTGGGGTTACGGAGGAATTTTACTGTTTAACGCATCAGTGTGGCTGTTCTCTGCTCTGGGCACGCAGGCTGGGATGCTCAAAGTGGAATTGTGAGGTCCAGTGACACAGAAACAAACCCAAGCAGTCAAGTCCCCTGTAGGGAGCAGGTGGAGAGCACCTTTGCCCTCTGCCATCAGAGGGACGGGGCTGGGTGAAGCCAGGCAGTCTGACTTGGCTCCCACCTTTGTTTGGAGGTTGCTGTGGTGATGAATTACCTTTGCAGAGGGTGTGTGAGCCTGTGTGGCTCTGGCAGATCAAACAAAGCCCACAGCTTCTCACCCCTGCATCGGAGCATGTGCCCGGTTGGGCTCCCAAAATAAGTTAAAGCTGTCTCAGAGCTGGTTATTGACAGGGCAGAGATCTACTCACCACCTCCCCCGGTTGCTGTCCCAGCAGGCAGCAGGAGCCTGGGTGATGGCAAGCAGTGCCTTTGTTCCCTTCCTTGGCAGGGGAGCTGATGTGCCTTATTGATTTTGTGCCTTATTTTGTGCCTCATTTTGTGCCTTATATTGTCCCTTATTTGTGCAAGCTCATGGCACCTGAGTTTTGTCTCCTTACTCTCCTTCCTCAAGGGCAGGTAGGTAGAGCAAGAGACTTGCAAAGGTACTCTGTAGAAGGAAAGAGGGAAATATTATTATCCAAAAGTCCTTTTTTTTTTTTTTTTTTTTTCCCCTCCCCCTACCATTGCAAAGATTACATTTTCTATGCTGAGGAAACTTTTGGCTTGTTTTACTCCCCATTTATCAATAAGTGTTACGACAAATTATAGTAAATTCTTTGCAGCTCAAAACAGAAGTGTGTTTTTCATACTAAGGCACCAAAGTCTGACCTTACAACTGCATAGTGATGCAAAAGTGCATGAAATTTGGAATTTTCCATAAGCATTACATGCTTTCCTCATGAATTCACAGAGTACAAGTACACTTGGATGATGCAGGTGTCTGAAGATGCTGCAAGTATCACTTCTAGATAAGAACTGCCTTC